CAGACAGGGTCGTCCCAATATGCGTTTTTGCAATTTGCATATAGGCAAAAACGCATAAAAATGCATTACCACTGTTCATGAAATGTAGCGCTGACTGGAATGGGATTTCTAATTTCTTCCAGTCTCATGCAACTGATCAAAATTAAACCACACTTCAATAATTCCTACCGAGTCACCGGTTCGTGAACAATGCATTTGCTGACACTGCTATAAGACCGGCACCACCTTATTACAACAGTATTCCAGTTCTACATTCGTTAGGACAGATTTAAGCGTTGAAAATGTAACTTGAGATTGTTTCAGACACGAGCCGCAACGATACTATGGAACAAACAAGCAACAGCACTAGCGAACAAGCTGCAAACGCAAGTGCTAATACTTCAGCCACTACCGCTTACAGAGAACAAGAACGGGAACGAACAGCCGATCGCATGCGATTGCTCCACACAAATAATGCGTACAGGCTAAAAGAAAATGCTGCGAACAGGGAAGCAATGGAAAAGCGTAAGGCTTGCGATGAAGGGCACAAAGCAAAAGAAAGGACTGCAGATTCTGAAGCAAAGCAACAACGCCGAGAGGCAGATTTTGAACACAGGGAAAGAGAGAGGGTTGCAAATGCCGAAGCTATGAGACAACGACGGAAAACGGATTACCGAGAACTGGAAAGGCTTGCGGATGCTGAGGCAAAGCAACAGCGACGAGCTGCAGACTTCGAATTCCGGGAAAGAGAGGGGGCTGCAAATGCGGAAGCTATGCGGCAACGCCGGGAGACACATTACCGGGACCTGGAAAGGATTACGGATGCTGAAGCAAGGCAACAACGACGAGCTGCAGACCTCGGATTACGAGAAAGAGAACGGCTGCAAATGCGGGAGCTATGCGACAACGCCGGGAGGCAGGCCTGCATTACAGGGAATACGAACGGGAGATAAATTCAGAATCAAGGAGAGTACGCAGGGAGTGTGCATCTGCTAATGAGAGGGAAATGGAACGTCAAGAGAATGCTTTGCGAATGCAGCATCGACGAAATGTTGGGGAACTGCGTCAGCAGGAGCGCACTAGGGGTCGGGAAGCAAGACAGCAACGGAGAAGCTTGACATACTCATCGGGCGTTGAAGCATACGAAAATGCAATCAGGGAAGGGCCAACATATACTTGCAACTGCTGCGGTAGATTAGAGTTCAAACGTTCTGTGACAACACTCAAAATGTCACATCTACTGCAAGCATGTGGTGCAAATGAAGCCCAAAGAAGTCTCATAAGGAATGTATTTTATCTAGAGCAGGTCGAGGAATGTTTCTTCTGCAAAACCTACGCACAGAGCATTAAATGCTGGAAGCAACCCCGCTATTGCCTTTTAAGTGGGTTGCACTTTCCTATTGTGGTCCAGAGGCTGCGAATTCTGACAAGGCTGGAAGAAAGACTAGTGGCTGCTCGTCACATTTTTCAAACAATCTGGCCATCTTATGGTCCTTCTGGGCAGTACCGCTGTAAAGAAGGGATTGTTAATGTGCCTGTTTCCGTTGACACGACAGTGTCGCGGCTACCTCGTCTTCCCACTGATGCGCACGTCGTGCATGTTCGCACTGCACGACGAATGCAATATAAAGGCAATTATATTACCGG